TCCGCAGACAACACTTCCGCTTTTCAAGACGCCGAACTTTGCCTTCAGGAAGCGGCTTCCGGCCTGCACGACCCCACTTCCGGCTCGCGCGACCCCACTTCCTCCCCAAAACCCCTCCGCATCCGCCCACACGCAACATGGCGCCGCCCACGTCCGACATGGCGCCGCCCGACTCAGCTCCCCGCCTCAAACGCGGCGCCTCCGCTCCCGGTTTCCGCCCCGCCCGCCCCTTCCCGCCGCGCTCCCGCACCGTGCAGCGGCCGCTCCCGCATCGCCTCGAAGCAAATCTCCGGGAGCAGCGCGGGGACGAGCAGCGCCCTCAGCGCCTCCATGGCGTCTTCGGGACTCCGAGAGCGACACTGCGCAGGCGCGGGCCCGCCCCCGGCGGACGCTGATTGGCGGGCAGCGCCCTGAGGGGAACGGCGCTACGATTGGCTGAAGTGCCCATCACTGTGTTCTGATTGGCTGAGCTGCTCTGCGTTTTTTAGTTAGTCCCACCCACAGCGCGCATGCGCAGTCTTTCAACTGAGACGTAAATGTCGCAATACGCATGCGCCAAAATAAGCCGCACTCTGATTGGCCCCGATTTGCCGCCTTTTCATTTAGCTCCGCCCACTCACGCATGCGCACTTCTCGCCAAACAGAACGACGCCTCGCTGCGCATGCGTTGTACGGCAAACCGTGATTGGGCCAAACCTGCCGCATGCGCACATCTTCAACCCCGCATCGCCGCGCATGCGCGCCGAGTCCCGACCATTTCTCGCGCATGCGCGCTGCTCCGCGCCGCCCTGCCAAGATGGCGGCCCCCGCGCTCCTCTCCGCCCTCAGCGGCGGCGCCGCCGCCCTTTGCGCCCTGTCCTCCATCCGCCTCCGCCGCCTCCGCCTCCTCCGCACCCTCCGCCGCCTCCGCTCCGTCCTCCGCCGCCTCCGGCGCCGCCGTTTCCTCCTGGCGTGGCTCAGCGCCCGCTGCGGCCTCCGCGCGGCGGCGCTCCCTCCTCCGTCCCCGCGGCTGTGGAGCAAACGGCGGAGCTGCGCCTTCTGGGAGACGGTGCGCGACAAGGCGTTCAGCCGCCGCGAGTGGACCGACAACTTCCGCGTGGCGCCGGCCACCTTCGATTTCCTCTGCGGCCGCCTCCGGGCCGCCATCCAGCGGCGGGACACGAGCATGCGGCGCGCCGTCCCGGCCGAGGTCCGCCTGGCGCTGACGCTGTGGCGGCTGGGGGCGGGCAGCGAATACCGGGCGGTGGAGCTCCGCTTCGGCGTCTCCCGCTCGACCGTCTGTAAGATCCTCCGCGACGTCTGCGAGGCCGTGGTGGCGGATCTGGGGCCGTGCTTCGCCACCCCGCCCGCCTGCGTGGCCGACGGGGCCGCCGTTGTGCCGCCGCCGCCGCCGTTGTTGGGGGTCGGGGTTCTGCCGGGGAGCGGCCCGGGGTCCGCCATTGCAGCGCCGGAAGTTGGGCAGGGATCCGCCATTGCCGCGCCGGAAGTCGGACAGGGTTCTGCCATTGCCACGCCGGAAGTTAGGCAGGGATCTGCCATTCCTCCGCCGGAAGTACGACAAATCTCCGTCGCCGTGCCGGAAGTGCGGCAGTGCTCCGCCATTACCACTCCGTCCCCGTCCGCGGCTCAGGGCTTCGCCATCCCGCAGCTGTGCGGGGTTCTGACGCGGCTCCGCGTCCCAATCCGCGCTCCCCCGGAGGACGCGGCGCGGTACAGCGACGGGCGGGGTTGGCACGCCGTGGTGCTGCAGGCCGTGGTCGATCCCCGCGGTTACCTGTGGGCGGTGGAGGTAACGCCGCCCGGCCGGGGCGTGCGGGGCTCCGGGCTGCAGCGCAAAGCGGAAAGGGAGGGGGGGCTGTGCGGGCCGGGGGCGGAGCGCGACATCGCGGGGGTTCGGGTCGCGCCGTTCCTGCTGGGCGGGGAGCGCGATCCGCTGCTGCCGTGGTTACTGCGGCCGTACGGGCGGGACGAGATCGGGGAGGGGGGGCACGGAGGAGGACGGAGAGGAGAGGAACGGCGGCGCGCCGGAAGTGACGCAACGGATGGAGGAGAGCGGGGTGGCTGCGGTGCAGGACCGGAAATGTACGGCGGAAGTGACGTCAGTGCTGAGTCTGGACGAAGCTGCGGCGGCAAACCGGAAGTGTGGGGCGGAAGAGTCGTCGGCGGTGAGGTGAGGAAGTGCGAGGACAAACCGGAAGTTGCTGGGCTGCTGAGCGGAAGCGGCGTCAGGGGAGCGCGAGCAGCGAAGCACGCGGGGCCTCTGAGGCGCCGAGCCGGAAGTGACGTCAGAGGCGGGCCGGATGGCTTGGAACCGTGCGGGAGTGGCGCCGTCTGCGGTCAGAGACGGAGGCAGAAATTGACTCGTTACCTCAGACCGGAAGTTTCTCCTCATTGTACCGGAAGTGACGTCAGCGTCTGTGACGCCACGCGACGGGACTGCGGGGGACTTCCGGAGGTTTCCGCGGTCCGAAGCGGATGTGACGTAGAGCCCGCGGCGGGGGAGCGGCAGAGCGACTCCCACCTTGCGGCGGAAATCTCCCCAAGCACTGTGAATACACCGGAAGTCTTTAGTTCGAGGACCGGAAGTCGTGCGGGCAGTCTGGAAGCGTCATTTTCAGAGACCGGAAGTTACGTTAGCGCTTCTCCGGAAGTCTCGGATTCATGCACCGGAAGACGTGTCATCGGCACACCGGAAGTCTCCGGATCGAGTACCGGAAGTGACGTCCGCGGCGCCGGAAGGAAGCGCCCCGTGGCTCCTGACGTCACTTCCTGCGCGACGAAACGGCTCCGCTTCAACGCCGCGGCGGCTGCGGCTCGAGGGGCGGCGGCGGCGACGCTTCGGCGGCTCCGGGGCCGCTGGCGGTGCCTCCAGAAGCGGAACGACGGCGACGTGGCCTTCCTGCCCACTCTGCTGGCCGCCTGCTGCCTCCTGCACAACGTCTGCACCGCCAGGGGGGATCCCGAACCCAACCGGGGGGAGAACGGGGCGG